AGTGCCTGCTCCAGAAGAGACTGATCCTGTTGAAAAATGAATTTATTATGTGTCTTGTGTTTTCTTATGCTGCTACATTTTGCATGGGCCCAACAAGTGGCCATAACCAAAGATAACCATGTTTACACTTTTTGGTACAATTCTTCTAATACTGATGTGGCTACATACACCTTTGACTATTGTGACATAGTTACTTGTACATTTCCACAAACACAACATGCAGCTGTATATAAGGACATACCTAACAAAAAGGATCCATACATTTGTGTGACTGGCGGAGGTTGGGGACACCATTGTAGTTCATGGAAAGCTGCCGGGTGGAACACAGGTAGACCATGGGGCTACAGACCTCAAGTTGCATTAGACAAGCTTGACAAAGACGGGAAACCCTTGCTCTCTAGAATGACCCTGAGTAAACCCATAGGGTCAACTCCCATTAAACTCACCTTAAACATAGAACACCCTAGTCCAAGGGATGCAGGGGAGTATGTGATGGGAATGTACTGGAAGGGAGGTGGCTCACATAACGCATTAGGGACCTTTTACTTGCAAGATATGCTAAATTCCTCTGATTGGGTGGGAACCACACATATGGTCATTAACCCATTGAAACCACACATCAAAACCCTACATGACATGGTAGCCATAGCCAACCCCACCTTTGAAGATACCATGGCAGTAGAAACAGGGTTTTCAGATACCAATTTATGGCTAGAATGGATGAGGTACAACGCCAACTCACACAATAAGACTAATTGTTATGTATGCGGAGGTGCCAGACCCCATCTGGGTACAGTACCTCTGAGTTTACCTCCGGAAATAGAATTATGTGTACTGAGTTTGTATGCACAATCCACCACTAACTCCTCAACATGTGAATCCTGGAAGAAGATTTACCCAATCACTCATGGACATGTGAAACCACCCGATGGAGTCACCATCTACCCAGGTAATTACACATGCTATTCAATACCAGAAAACACTGGTTTGTATCTGGGCAAATTCCCATCAGGATACTGCTCAACTTACCATAGTCCACCTGTATCACTGCTAATGAATCACACAAAGACAATCGGTGATATCTATTGGTTATGTGGTGACAAACAATTAAGGCCCCAATTAGCTGGGCAATGGTGGGGGGAGTGTGCCCTAACCAAAGTCATAATGCCTATCCACATCATTCCAGATGGTGACCATAACACGCTAAACCTCACACATATACACTCTAGAACCAAACGAGAGACCCCTATTCGAGGGAGTTTCGACCCCCATGTGTATATTGATGCCATAGGTGTGCCAAGGGGGGTGCCTAACGAATTTAAAGCAAGAGATGAAGTGGCTGCAGGGTTTGAGTCCCTAATCCCAATGATAACTGCTAACAAGAATGTCAATTGGATTAACTATATCTATTATAATCAGCAACGCTTTGTCAACTACACAAGGGATGCCCTACAGGGCCTGGCAGAGCAACTACAAGCCACTACCCAAATGACATTTCAGAACAGAATGGCCCTAGATATGATTCTAGCCGAAAAAGGGGGAGTATGTAAAATCCTCCCTGAGACCATGACATGCTGCACATACATTCCAGACAACACGGGGCCCAATGGTAAAGTGACTATGGCCATAGAAAAGCTAGATAGTCTTGCAGACGAATTAAAGAAGAATTCGGGAGTCACTGACATATGGGACAAATGGTTTGGGTGGATGAATGGCTGGCAAAAGACCCTCTTTCAGGTAGGGACAGCTGTTCTCATGGTATTCATTATCTTTTTGTTCTTAGCCTGTTGTATACTCCCCTGTATACAGAAATATCTGCAGAAAGCGGTGGATAAGACTGTAGATAATGTGACCCCTACCTTCATACATCAAGATATCACAGACCTTGAAGATGACACCCCACATACACCCCTACAAACACATCAGTTTAAACAGACAACTGCTTTTTTGTAGGGATAGAGTAGGGAAAGCGTCTGTCTTGACAGGTGAGTCTCACGTGTGGAGATGTAGTGGGCTAGCCACTGCGGGATACCCGCGGAGTGAAGTGTTCGATGCTTGTCAAGACAGATAGGTTGCGGGCAACTAGGGACATATTAGGGACAGCAGCAGTTGTAATGGTAAATAGCCATTTTAGGGGGGACTGTTGTGGAAATAAGGTCTACACATATTTCCTAGTTAGAGGAAAATGTCTATTTACTCATTTTACAATATATATATATATCTCACATATAAAGCTAAGTACACATATTTCAATCAAGATGGCTGCTAGAAGCTTCTAACCCCTCCTTCCCCTCCCCTCCCTTTTTAAACATCGACTAACTACCTCGTGTAACAAGATGGCGCCGGAAAACCGTGGGAGACCCTCATGGTCCCGGTGACATCACCTGCAGTAGGCAGAGCATTAGAGCAACCACTTAACACCTAACCAATTATTGATGTATTATTCCATGTTATCTCTGACAATGCATATGATGTAATTTTGCTTTAAAAGGGACTTGCCGTCCCCTGTGAATAAACTTTCCTCAAGTTATTCAACAACCTGGAACCTGTGTCTGGTGTGAATTACTTCAGGGAGCGTGCACGCATTGTTTCATTGATTTGGCCAGGGGCAGATACACAAAGAAATAATCAATACTTTAATTGATTTTTCCATTTCATAAGCCCACAAACGGTGGCCAGGCTTCGCCAAGATGGCGCCCGCTATGTAGCTTAAGAGCTACACTAAAATGGAGATCGGCTAAAATGTATAATAAAAAGCTATGTATTCATGGCGGGCAGCACCATCTGGAAGCACATTTTTTATTTGACTTATATAATTTCTAGTTTTAAATACTTTGTTTTTTCTTTCTTTATTACATATAACCTAAAGAGGACTATTTAGGCACTGCACCTCCTCCCTGTTTTCTCTCACGCTACAAGGAATGACTGGCAGGAGGGGAGCACTGTGCTGTGAGCTACCCTCCTGCCGTGCTGCCTTATGGTAGCACTGCCCCTGCAATGTTTTGCGAGCCGCATCTAAAAAGCTAAAGTTTGGCCATTTATTTATAAAATATTTTACCAAGAAGCATACATTAAGATTTCTCATTGTTGCAATAGTGTACAGCATAATATTAAAAATACAACCCCTTCAGACACTTGCCTAAATCCATTGCCAATGTCCCTCGGCGCTGGGTTAGGCTCTGCCCACCTTCTCCCCTGCCGAACTAATGCACATGCGCGGCAATGACTGCGCTCACTTTAGGATCTCCCCATAGGAAAGCATTGATCAATGCTTTTCTATGGGGATTCCGGTGTCACTGAGAATCATGCAGAGTGTGAGGACATCCAGCGTTGTTTAGACGACCAAAAGAAGCGGTCTAAGAAGCCTAAAGTCCCTATTGTGACTGGTAGACAGCCACTATATGAAGACTTAACCCTGCAAGGTAATTATTGCAGATAATAAAAACTGCAATAATTACACTTGACGGGTTAAGGGTGATGGGAGTTGGCACCCAGACCACTTCAATGAGCTGAAGTGGTCTGGGTGCCTACAGTTTACCTTTAAGAGAGGTCAACATGCAATTAGCTGATGCCCTTGGCCAATAAGCTAGCCCTGCACTTCAGAGTTTTTCACAGAAGAGCTAACAGGAACTGTAAAGGAATTTACTACCTCAATGAGCAAAGTAGCTCAGCTGATGCGATTTTCAGATCTGTCTGTCTAAGTGATAGATTTGAAATATATGATATTGTCAAGATGTCATTGCATGCATCACAGCCCGCTGTAGTGGTTATAGTGCCAGAAATGTCCTGGTGCCCTTGCCATTGTAAGTAGTTAAAGGACCACTATAGGCACCCAGACCACTTTAGCTCAATGAAGTGGTCTGGGTGCCAGGTCCATCTCCCTGCCTGCTGTAAACATAGCAGTTCCAGAGAAACTGCTATGTTTACATTAAGGTTAATCCAGCCTCTAGTGGCTGTCTCACTGACAGCCGCTAGAGGTGCTTCCCACTGTGATTTTCACAGTGAGAAGACGCCAGCGTCCATAGGAAAGCCTTTGCCCCGCATGCAGCCGGTAACGTCAGAAGAGAGAGGAAAGTCCCCGGCGCTGGAGAAAGGTGAGTGATTAACCCCTTTCCTCCCCCTTCAGCCCGGCAGGAGGGTGAGGCAACAGTCAGGGCACTATAGTGCCAGGAAAACGAGTTTGTTTTCCTGGCACTATAGTGGTCCTTTAAATTATATGTAAATGGTTTGACAATTTACCGGTGGTCTGTTAGGTGCTAGTAACCTCTTCCTCTGTTAGGGCCTATTGGAGGGGAGATAAGGGAAGCTCTTTTTAAATACCCGTGAGCTCCATTGGTTGGGTGCTCTATATATATTTTCTATGGCTCCATGTAACCACTCCTTTTTCATAGGGGTGAAGGGGATAGGGTAGAATGTTGCATTTTCGCCTCAATGTTCAGTTAAATGATTACAGTATACCCATGTTTCCATGAATACTATGAAAGCAGTGGTTTTGTTTAAGGCGGTTCTAGCAGCACATGGCCATGCGCTCTGCTTCTCACTGAGTGATACAGTACAGTGAGTTAAAGCGCGGGTACCCGCTCCGGGATGTTTCGCGCCGATTCTCTAGTCATGAGCTCACTATCCAGCGTTCCAAACACAGAGCTCATCACACAGTGAGAGAGAGCGGCTGCCAGGCACGCCCAGTCCGCCGGCCTATCATTTTATAGGAGAACGTCACAGGTAGCGGCGAGAGGGCGGGGCTTGGGCCATTCATTCAATACACAAATATGTAAGGGAATTAAAAAAAACAAAAAAGGTAAAGCTATTCGGACCAATCAGAGTCCCGCATTCATCACAACACGAAAAGAGAAAGGGCAGAGGCGCTCCAATCGCTTTGACAGGTGATGTGTCAGTCCGTTGTTTCCCGTGTGGTGATTGGTCGTTCAGACCGCCCGTCGTCTGTCACCGCGGCTCGCGCCCGGAGCTAGGCAGGTGATTGGCTCCATGCAGGCGCGAAATGTAACGCGGGAAAAATAGAAGTGAGAGGGATCGCGCCGCCGCCGCTGCCTGCATCCATTCATCGGGCTTTCCATCGTCCTGTGCGAGCCCGCCGCGGGGCTATGCCGGCTGGGGGACCCACCTCCCCGCAGCATGATGTCCGCCGTGTGCCCCTCTCCGCTCTCCCAGGACTCCTCTCCCCCCCGCCCGGTGCTGGTGTCGGTTATTAAGGCGGTCTCCTCCAGCGCCCACACTCCGCTCAAGCCACGCCGCCCTCCCTGCTCCGCCGGCGGCGGGATCCACCCGGGGGCTCAGCCCAGCCCGGTGCCCACCTCCCCCGGGTTCAGTGATTTCATGGTGTACCCGTGGCGCTGGGGGGAGAACGCGCACAATGTCACGCTCAGCCCGGGGCCCCCCGCCCGCCACCAACCGCCCCCCGCCGACAGGGCCCGCATCGGGGACGGCATCGGGAGCGGAGCGGCCGGCGGAGGTGGAGCGGGCAGAGGGAGCCAGGACAGCGCCGGCAGTCTGAGGGTGAGTGAGTGAGTGCGGCCTGGGTAACCAGCACAGACAGCTGTCAGACAGTCACCCCATGTGGGAGGACTTTAAACATGCTCACACCGCACTGCGAGCTGCCATGCCTGCTCCGGCACACCCCCTCCACCCAACACACCGTGGGACAGACACCCAGCAGCACTCTGCAGGCACACTAACATTACACGCTCTAGGTCAGGATTTCTCCTTTAGACACATGGCTAGAAATTGAACATGCGCTAACATTGTCTGCTCTGATAGAGAATCACAACCCTAAATAAATAGGGCAGGGGAGAGTCTGTAAAGTTGGATGACTTTCTCCACGTTTGATAGAAAGATAGGGATGCGAGCAACATAGTGGGTAGTAATTCACATAATATCCTATGATTATAGTCCCATACTAACAGTAACAAATTCTCTTGTGTAGATTTACATACAAGATAAGCTGTTTTAGGGCTATGAGCTCTCACATTTCCCATTGAAATTTGTAGGCGTTCCTTCTGTTTATTATCTATAGAATACAACTAAAATCTCTTTTAGATATTATGCTGTGCTTGCTGATCTTCCTGATTTTTGACTCCTTTCCACTTTAATTTTTCCCTCTCGTTTATGATGTGATCTGTCATTCTTTCTAGTAAATGCTGCTTTTGTTTTTTGTATGGTATAGCAAAGTAACATCTGCTGGGCTTAAAATGTGTAGACTCATGTTACTAGCCAGGCCTTAAGTTATTGGCCACTACAAGCCTTGGTTTACGCTCAAAGGCTGAATTTTCTTCTCCCCAGAGCTAAATTCTCACTTGCTACTGGAAAGTGGAATTTGTGAGCTCCGGATTTGTTTAAGGGGTACAATGTTGTTTATGCCTTAATTGGTACACCGTTACAGCTAGCTAAATTGCTGCTTGGTATACTATGAGCACGAAGATCTGTTATTTTATTTTTAAAGTACTGGTTGTATTCCAACACACTTAAATATATTTGGGGTTAAGTATCAAAGTGTGTCCATGCTAAGAGTGGTGAAATTGAGACAAAAGTCCCTCTAGGATTAACCCTTTTTTTTAAATAAACATAGCCGTTTCAGAGAAACGGCTATGTTTATAAATGGGTTAATCCAGCCTCTAAAGCCTATAGTGGCTGTCTCATTGACAGCCGCTAGAGGCGTTTGCGTGCTTCTCACTGTGAAAATCACAGTGAGAAGACGCCAGCGTCCATAGGAAAGCATTGTAAATGCTTTCCTATTAGACTGGCTTAATGCACCCACAGCTCCTGCCGCACATGCGCATTCAGCCGAAGAGGCGGAGAGGAGGGACCTTGAGGGTGGGGGAACGAGTGTGTTTTCCTGGCACTATTGTGCACTTCTCAACAATATATATATATATATATATATATTTTCTCTTCCCACCTGGGATGCATCCATATGCCAGCTTTGGCAAAATAGAAAATTAATTTTGTATGTGTATATATGAATGTAACTTCATTTGTTTTTAAATTCTAATATAATGTAGTCTAGAATTATGTGTGCACTCATTTAACTGGTTTCCATAATGATTGTATCACTTCTAAAGCTTTATCGTGTTTCAGTTAGCAACATTTGTTAAATCTCCACTTAGAGATTTTTGTACATTTCTCAAAGACATAAGCACAAGAATAAAACCGAATGAACCTTGCCTCGTTTGCAAATGGAATTACTTACACATCACCCCTATAGTGTTTTTTACTTTATTTTTGAAGACTAAAGTTGAGGAAACTGAACTCTTTGAGCTCCAAAATGTGGAAAGAGACACTGACATTTGTATGTTTTGTAAAAACCATGCATAACTTGAAATGCATAACTCGGTGTGATCTTTGCAATGGTGGTCTGGACATAATACAAAACTGTAAATGATTTTAGCAATCCAATACTTTCCCATTGGGAGGCTAGGGTGCATGTGTGGCAAAATGCTGCTGTGCCATCTGAAGTCATCAGATATAAATAGCGGTTTTGGAGGAAGCACCCTTAGTGACTCAGAATGACAGCTGCTAGAGGCATTTATACTTTTCCATTCATGCAGAACTGCAATGTTTTATATTGCAGGGTTTAGCTGACAGGCACATGGTACTTAGACTACTTCATTGGGTGCCTATAGTGTCCCTTTAAACAAGGCTGTTATAGTGCCTACAGTGTTAATGTCATTAAGTTGTTACGGTGTGTGTAGCCCCTGGTGTCTTTCTTCCGTTTATTGTTGAACCACTTTTTTTATGCCAAACGAGTACTCTGTGTTCTCTGGGCTAGTGAGGCAGCATTAGCCAGAACAGCAAGTGGTCCGTTATTGACTGAGAGCATCAACAAACTGCTTTCAGACCATCACAACTGCCTCTGCTGGTATGAATTGGTATGGCTGATATAAATAGTATAATCCTTGTCTTAACCATACCACTTGTGTGGGCCCAACTGTGGGCAACCAGGAAGCCTAATGCCGTAGTAAACTGCTCGGAAATCTTTAATACTGAAATAAGGGACGGTGCCAGCACTAGAAATAATTCCATGAGATTAAATGGTTATAGAACCTACAGTGTCCATTTAATATCATGCAGTCTACCAGTGTCACTCCTACACTTTAAGCCATTACTATGAGCCGATTTTGACAAGACAATGTTACATATTGCTGTAAATGTTTAAATTGCCTACTAGTTCTGTAAAGGCATTGTAAAAAGATAATTTTGCTCATGCTTGTGGCAGCTTTCTTCTACATACAGTTGAAATTGATAGTGTCCATTTCTTGCCACATGTGCAAATTGACTAGTGAAGTAGTCAGTGAAAGTGTTTCATCTGTCAGAAAGAAAATGTGTAATGATCTACCAAGTGGATAGGTCAGGGCTTGACAAATTTGCTTTGAATCTAGGAGCCAGCTAAAAAAAAAAATTAGGAGACAGATTTTTTTTTCTTAAAGGGACACTATAGTCACCTGAACAACTTTAGCTTAATGAAGCAGTTTTGGTGTATAGAACATGCCCCTGCAGCTTCACTGCTCAATCCTCTGCTATTTAGGAGTTAAATCCCTTTGTATATGAACCCTAGTCACACCTCCCTGCATGTGACTTGCACGGCTTTCCATAAACACTTCCTGTAAAGAGAGCCCTATTTAGGCTTTCTTTATTGCAAGTTCTGTTTAATTAAGATTTTCTTATCCCCTGCTATGTTAATAGCTTGCTAGACCCTGCAAGAGCCTCCTGTATGTGATTTAAAGTTTAACATTTAATTCTTTTTTTTTTTTCAAGGCACATGTGGAGTGGGGTAGAATATTGTGGACATGGATAATAAAATGTTTGGAATACAAGTTTGTATTACCAACCCGTGGGTGTTCCTTTAAGGCATAATTCAGTTGGTCCTTTGCTGAGGCAGGCACAAATCCTGTCCCTGTGAAAGCAGCACAGACATTTGAGAAACATGCTTTTTTACAAAAGTCCTATAAATGTGCCATATGGAGTCATTGAGTGCTGCAAAACAGTTTGTCTAGGGAGATTGCATCTCTATGCACCTTTCTTGAACCGTCAATGTCTGGCTGCAATTGCATTATTCACTAAAGTGTCCTTGTGTGTTTTTCCATGCAGAGTATATATTGATGTCCCTGCAGGTCACATGTGTGACTTCTGCAAAAATATGAAGTTTCTTTTGATGTAAAAAAACAAACCCTTTTTAGCTGTAGCGGTTGTGGTGCGTGAAGTGTAGGCACATAGTTTTTATTTTTAGTACGGTGTGACAACTAGCCTTCTATTTATTTGTTTTCGGATGAGCGCAAAAAGCGCGCCTATGTACAGAATTCCTCAAAATGTTTTGTTTGTAAAGGCTACAATGTTATGAGCATGCCAAATGCATTATGGGGCACTATACACCAATGTGTATTCCTGACACTATTGATCTAAAACCACCATTTACGTGGTTGGCTCTCTCTACCTCTGGTTAGAAAGGTGATTTTACTTCACTTTCCCCAGCGATGCCCCAATCCACCTCCTTGGCTTACATCATCAGAATTGATCTCAGCCAGGTAGTGTGGGGGGAGCCAAATGTCACCCTGGCCAATCGGCATCTGAACATCCATGCTGCACTGACCCAAGAAGCACCTCTAGTGGCTCTCTGAGGAGTGCCCACTAGAGGTGTTTCTAGGGTGTAATGCAAACACTGCCTTTACTCTGAATATCTGATAAACACAACTTGTGCTACCTACATGCCTTTTCAATGTATTTCTGAAGGATGAATGTATGTTTTGTTTTTTGTTTTTTAAATTTAAGATTTTTTTTTTTTGTATGTGTGAAGAGTGATTATGCTGTCAAATATATTTTTTATGGTATAGGATGGGATTCGACGTGGCCGTCCAAGGGCAGAAACGGTTAGAGACTTAATAAGTGAAGGTGAACATTCTTCAAGCAGGATTCGATGCAGTATCTGCAATCGGGTGTTTCCTCGTGAGAAGTCTTTACAAGCTCATAAAAGGACACATACAGGTAAGTAAATATTTTAAACATTTCTAAATTGTTTGGCACAAGTTGTGTAAAATTTTAACATAACCTTGGCACATGAGTCTCCCCACACCTACAGGTGCGCTAAAAAGAAATACCATTAATAATAGCTGTTTTGTTTTTTTTAAAAATTATTTATTTATTTTTTTTGCAGATATTTCAATGCTCTTCCATTCAGTCAGCTTCACAAACTGACAAGGTTATTCATTTAAAGGAACACTACTGTTTAACTATTAGGTCCCCAGCCCCCCTTAGATGCATGGGAATATTGATTTTTGCTTACCCTTTCTCCATTGCCATGACGTCTCTCCGCAGCTCCATCAATCTTGATGGCCTCAGCCAACCCAATGATTTCCCACAGAAAAGCATTTTGAAGCTATTTTGCATGCATGTCAAAACGCCCTGCTGCACCAATCCGCATCTTTTCATAGAGAAGCATTGATTCAAAGCATCTCTATGGGTAATGTTTAGCACCTCCATGCAGCACTGGACTAGGAAGCACTTCTAGTGGGCATCTGAGTTACTGCCACTTGAGATGTTCCTAAACAGCAATGCGAACTCTGCCTTTTCTCTGAAAAGTCAGCGTTTCACAGTGCTCAGCCTGCTTTGACAGGCTATAGACACCAGAACTACTACATTAAGCTGTAGTGGTTCTGCTGATCATAGTGTCCCTTAAAGTGTGAACTGTTGAGAATTCAGCATTTAGTTCTAAAGAGCCACTGGAAACACCCTGGACTTTGAACAACTTTGCGGTTTGGCCATGTTTGCCTAAAACTAAATATTCACACTTAACTGAATAACCGTCAGTAACTAAAATGTGTCTAAATTCTCAGGTCTACCTTTTTTTTAATTTATTTTATCTGTATTTTATTCACCTCTACAGTGAGGTCTTACAGGGCACATGACTTCATGTCCTTCCATTCCACACTCTCTTAGAATCACTGACACCGTAATAGATAAACACTGCATAAATACAAGCAGATTTTGTAATGTTATTAACTGTTCTACATGGCTGAACATGTTGAACCTTTTCGTCATTTGTAGGAAAAACTGCTGTTTTTAAATCTAAAATGTACTACTCGTCAAGTTAGCTGTGGGCCTTTTAGGTCTATTTTATTTAAATTTAAAAGGAGAGAATGTACATTTTAATGTCCACATTCTCTCCAAGGACATGTTTAACCCTTCAGGTTAACTTGTGCAAAAGAAAAAAAAATAGCCATCTATGTGCATGTGCACAAACCCATAATGTCTACTATATGTATACAGAAGGGCTCAGGGTCATGCAAACATCAGCTTGGAGGGAATGTAGAGTGTATATGTCCTTTTACATGCATGTATTGAACATTTTATCTGTATACTGTGATGGCAGAATTACTAGCAAATGTAAAGATTTGGAGGGAACGCTCCCTTCATGCAGAATAATTCTCTCACATAATTCACTCACAGGAAAAGCATAAAAACGCTCCTTTAGAAAAAAATTACTTGTTTTCAGCAGCATAACCCCCACATGTTTTCTCTTCAAAAGACATCTTCATCATTGGGAGTGCAAAGTGTATATGCTTAGCTAATGTGAAATCCGTATGGACTGAACTACAGGCATCAGTCCCCCACGTGTAGCCAATCACTATCCTCGTACACTTGACACAGCTTTGAAACACTATACAAATTATTAAGACTGATCAGTTGTTGGGCAGGATTAAGACAGCAGCTCTCATGATCTGAGATTATACAGTTTACCTTCCAGTTAGGAACATATTTGGTGAGAGGAAGGCATGGCTATAGTGGTGACTGCAAACCCCATGGTGCAGTAAGAAAAGTTTGATATAAACCAGGGCTCTTCTTTGCACATGGAAACCCCCTCCACAACTTTATTGATAATGAGGAATTAAACAGAAAAGTCACAAGGACTACTACAGCGTAGTGTAGTAGTTCTGGTATCTACAGCATTGCAGGCCACTTAATGTAAACACTAACTTTTCAGGTTGTGCTCCATACAATGTGTTAAGATAAATTTGAACACTGCAGCTTTATGGCCCAATTTAATTTCCATCTCTGCAATTAAGGAATCTACATTTCTTCTCAGCTGCCTTTTGGTTATGGGCTCTGTTTATCACTGATTGCTGCCTTTCTTATATTCCATCTATCTTGTCTCCTTTTTTCATAAGGCCATTTATATAACTTACTGACAAAGTATAATCTGTATGCTTGGATATATCATACCTTCAGTTGCTACTTTTAAATATTTTCTGTTTTCCCATTATGACTTAATTGTTCTGTTTTGCACTTGTTCTTGTGCTGTTTTGTACTTTTGGGCAATGTCTATTTCTGTTTATTACTGGTTGTTATGTATGTTGTCTTGTCTTTGCCTTTTCAAAATAAAGAATGTAAAAAACACTTTTAAAAAAATTTTTTTTGTAACAGGTGAAAGACCTTACCTTTGTGACTACCCTGAATGTGGAAAAGCTTTTGTTCAAAGTGGTCAACTGAAAACACATCAACGCCTTCACACAGGAGAGAAACCTTTTGTATGCTCGGAAAATGGTAAAATCTCTAAAATCTCTTGTGTTCGGTTATTTTCTATTTCCTGGGGTGAGCAAAAATAACATTTCATTGTCTACTTTAGGATGTATTAGTCGGTTTACTCATGCAAATCGGCACTGCTCCAAGCATCCATATGCAAGACTAAAGAGGGAGGAACTAAGCAATAAAACAGGCAAACTCCAAGGAGTTGAAAACAAGGATACGGCAGAATGGCTGGCAAAGTGAGTATGGTTTCAGGACACCAACATGACTATTGGTGGCTTATTTTTTTTTTTTTTTTAATTCTTTATTATTGACAGAGGATACAAGTTTGACAAAGTAACAAATAAGCACATTTTTTTTCCATTGAAAAACATGAACAGTAACATATGCTCTCCCTCTTGTTCTGTAACAACCCCTTGATATTTGTTTAAGTGCTTTTCACTGACTTATTCATTCAGTGGTATCATCTCTGCATGTGTTATTTACTTTCGCAGTGTACCTCTTGTCGTCTCTTTAGTTTTTCTAAGAGTTAAACCATTGCTTCTTATCAACCCATCCAAGGAGGAGCAGTCTGTTGGTTTGGTCGAGTTTCATACTGGTTCGTGTGCCACTCTAGTACATGCTCCTAGTCCAGTATGTCTTAATCTCCTCCCTTTATCTCTATTAATCGCAAGAAGCATGGTAGTAATGTTATTAGATAGGTGAATGGGAAAGAAAGGAAAAGAGAAAAGGAAGAAAGGAATCGAGTGGTGGCGGTTGTCTAAGGCCGTCTTTAGCAAGAGTTCTTTTATGCTTATTTGTGGAGAATAGTGTGGTGGGGCTGCCTCTCCTCAGCTAAGTGGGCTACTCTCCCATGGTGCCCATATTTTTTGAAATGTTTTTTGGGTTCCCCTTAATCTAGCTGTGAGGTCGTCCATAAGGTGGGACTATTGTTAATTATACTTCTGCTAGCTACAGTGGAGTTTTTTAATACTATGATGTATGCAGTTACCATAAATGTGGAGATTCAGTGTTCTAGTCTCTGTTCAGTTATAACCACAGGCACTAAAACATATTATGCAAACAAGTGTTATGCCTGTAAATGTAGGAAAAGTTGAGTGCTCATACAAGAACTCCGTTCGTTGAGTCCCTTTTTACATCAAGAAGTTTCCTTGTCTTTCTGTGTTGTAACTATCAACGGTCTGCTATAGTATGATCGCTCATACAAGAATCATTGGCAGTTTTTAGTCAAATAGCATATACTGTATTACCCGGGGCAACTCTGCAGTGTATCCTGCTTTACCAGGGAATAAGCAACTCAAGTACCAGAGTCCTAGCGCTCAGGATAGAAGCTCGCCAGGTGAGCTAGCAGAAGTTCTTGTGATATGAAGTCTGAACTGTTACGCCTTCAGTAACAGATGTCAGGACATTATCACTCCCAAATTAATCGCGAGCTAGGAGAGATGCTGTGTTCGCTGGTGGGAAAAGTACAGGCTAAGGCAAAGAATCCCACGGGTGAACTGGTCCACCTTCAAGGCCAGGGACACCAGGTCCATATCCTCACAGGCTACTCCTTGTCCTTTTATACAATTCTATTAGTGAACAGATTATCAGAGCTGTACTAGTCCTACTAATATTCGTAAAATATCCTGTGCACCTGAGATTTTATTTAAAGTAAACACGGTCATGTCTTCCAGCCTAAGTTACTGAAATCTTCAATCTGCACCATGTGTTCAGGGTGGTGCTACCAATGATTAATAAAGAGGCAGGATTATATTTTTGTCATGTGATTTGAAACCTCTTTATGCATGACTGTTACTTACCGGCCTTAGCAAGTGCTATCTGAGATTGCACATTGTTGTTTAGCCTATTGTCTCTAACTAACTATTTCCACATTCCTCTCATGTTTTTCCTAACTTAGTACCATTTGTCTGAGTTGCTTTTGCAGCTCTCACCCAGAAATACATAACTTTGCAATTATGTATGGTAACTGTCATTTGGCAGCCCAGTCCTTTAATTTGTTCAGGTCCTTACGCAGGAAAGTAACATCTAGCTCACATGTTTATAACTTACCCTAGGTTTGTGTTGTCTGTTAACACACACACCTGGCCATCAATGTCTATTGCAAGATCATTAATAGACTTGTTGAAGAGAAGTTGACCCAGAACAGACCACAGTAGAAACTTCACTTACCACCTTTTGTCTTACTTGAAAAGTTTACATTGGCAGATTAACTGCTCCTTGCATTTTTAATAAACCAGTTTAAAATCAAAGGACTTCTTGCTATCAAGGAGATCGCTGAATCCTCCAGACACTGCCAGTTACCTGGAGCTGTCACCGGTGACGACTGTCTATATTGACTGTTAGACTCCGTTCTGGGTTCAGGTGTTGGAGAAGTACAGAACCAACGTAGTCACTACTTTGTCTCTGTTTATCACTTGACAGGGCTGACATTTCATTGAAATTCCAGCAGAGTGAAAATGAGTATTTCCTAAAGATTCTATCATATTTGGATGGGAACATTTGAACACGTGGCTTTCTACCACTGTAACATCAGGCTATAGCAGTTAAGAGTCACCAGAAGTGTTAATTTTTTTTTTTTTGTAATGTTTTTTTTTTTTTTTTTTTATTATTCCTGAAGTATATGTAAAAATAAATATATAATAGTAAATTAAAATTCTATGGGGGTAAATAAGAATCCATATTGTTAAAATGGAGGTATTTAACCTCCTTGTCTACTAAACATTAAAACTAGTGATTGGGCAGCCATTGCCCAAAGTGGGAGGGGGGGGCTAGTGTCCACTCACCCCCTGCTTATTTATGCTGGTTGTGGCTCGATTTGTAATAAAGGGGAAGGACACCTTGTGTCCACTCCCCTGGCTCACATCCATGTCGGCAGATGGGGACCCTATCGTGTAATAAGGAGGATGGGACCTAGAGTCCCCTTCCTGGGCCCTCACCCATGTGGCTAGGAAATATTTATTTAAAAAAAAAAAAAAAAAGTTACGGTTTTCATGCAACGTCTGACTAGTTGCCACATAATCATGCGATTCACTATTTGCCTGCTGCCAGTGGGCAAATAGTAATTATAATTATCATTTACTTGCAAATTGCAAGTGAACATTTGCGAACTAAAAACCTGTCAGATGGATCTGGTTTGTCACCGATCGGCACGCAATCTTAAATCTGCGATTTTTGGTGCAGTTAATTCGTTCGGATTGTAGAAATCACAGATTTTCTGATCTCATCTGAACCAATGTTACAGAATCTGGTAGTAAATCGGTGCATTGCCAATGTGGTTGGAATTTAAGTAGTTGTAAATATATATATATTGTGTGTATGTATATATATTTTAATTATTGCAATTAATATGACTGTATAAGCTTGGTTGCTAATAAGTTCTACCCTTTCTCCCCCAGGCACTGGGAAACACAAGAGGCATTCAAAGTCAAATCCCTCCAAAAGGCAGACCAGGAGCAGCAGGACCCCTTAGAATATCTTCAATCTGAAGATGAGGAGGACGAGAAGAATGGGCCTCATACTTCTGCTCGCCATCGTCTACAGGAGCAACGAGAGCGTATGCATGGCGCGCTAGCCTTGATTGAGCTTGCCAACTTGGCTAGTGCACAGCTGCGCCAGTAACCTTATTGAATCCAGACGTACGAAATGTCCTGCCCTAGCAATATTTCTGCTCCTTTTTCTGCTGCTGGATCATGCTTTCCATTGAGTACTCAGTTAGACAGAAAGAGGCAACAAAATAGTGTTCTTGGGTAACAAGCTAAGCACCTTATTTGCTTTGACATAGGCTGCTATCCTGTAGAATTTTTATGAAGAATGTTGTTGCCCTCTCACATAGAGGGGCAAGAGAGAATTGCACTTTTTATGGTAAAAGATAGTTGTAAAGTGTTGTGTTTTTATATATATTTTTTGTAAATATGAACAGTACAGAAGCAGGGTAGACTATCTATGTGGAAATGCTGGATTTTACAAGCTTAAGTGTTCCTTTTCAGACTCTTACAATGCCAGATTTATGTATGTAGGAAAACATTTGAATTTCCCCTGACCCTCTTGTTTGGTAGAAAACACAAAAACCGTATCATAAACTGATGTTTGGCGTCTCCCAAATGTTTCATAATGCAGAGTTGACATAATTGAGGTTCATCTATCTCCATCCTGATCCAACTGCTGCAAGCTTGTGGCATGTTCAGAATGATGAGAGAACCTGCAAGAAAGTTGTGGAATGAATCCCAGCTCTGATGGTAGAGAACCAGGTACAAAGTCCTCCTACTGAAATTACCCTTTATATTTGGTTCAAGAAGTGTTGCTGAATACCAGAGGTAATAAATTATGTCACCTCTGTATAAAGATTCTATGTGTAAGCACACTAGTTGATCTTCTGCAATACATTCATAATGTAGTAGATCCCAATAAACTATTTTGGAGATTCTGCAGTTAAGCTTGCAAAATATCAAACTTTTATCGAAAGAGTTACCCATAAAATGGGTTGTATGGTGTAGTAAGGCACTTGCATTTTATAAGGCGGTATTTTACATGGAGGTATTGATGTAGTAAACTATTCTAGATTACCAGCAAACACTAAATGTTTTTAATATTCTGCTTTTAGAATATATATATATATTTTATTTTATATATTTTATTTTTTTTGCAAATTGCCTTAAGGCCACTTTATAGCTTTAACATGCCAAGTTTGTGCTAAATGTCTTGATTATAAACGTATGAAAATGTCTTGTCCGTAGCTCTAACTAAGCTTTAAAATAGTCTATTTTTGTTTTTAATACTTTGGACAAAACACTTTGTCCAATACAGAAGCTAAGAATGATATGCATCCTATTCTGCCTTATTTATCTTTCTAGCCTGCAAAATTGCAGGTAAACCTTAAATTAAGTATAAACCAGTGCTTATTTTCTGAGTAATCTTGGACTAGTCTATTTTTTTTTTTTTTTTTACATGTATTCAGGCTCTGTATACTGCATATATGTAAGCAAATACCTATTTTCAGTGCATCTTACGGCTTAGCCTTGTTGTATGGGGACAGCCATCTTTAAAACCTATTTGTTTAGAAGCACAGGTTTTCTTATTAAAAACTTTACTGGTGTAAAGAGCTAGTGTGTAGTCACAAATTTTTACTTTGTTTTTATACATTTTTATAAATAAACGTTGTATGTATGATAAATACGTTTGTGTTAATGGGACAGCATAGGTACCCAGGCCACTTCCACTCAATGATGCCATGTCCCTGTCTAACCCTGCAACTGTAAACATCGTTTTGTAGGAACAGCTACAGCCTCTGATGGCGGTCTTCCTGATAGATTCTGCCTGCTATAGTTGAACTTGGCTATTCAATCAGTTGGTTTCATAATGACCATTTATTTGTGGCATTTTGCTGTGTATGCACACTAGCCTTCCAAATGTTTCCCTGTGGGCTAAGCTCATCTACACTGATATCAGTCAAAGAGGCTGAGCATGATTGTGGAGACCAGTGTAGTAAGGGCTGAAGGGGGGGGGGTACTAAATAGGTTTGTATTTCCAAAGCTATAGTGATCCTTTTAAATGATACTTCTGTCAAAAGAGGGCTAAAGTTGGCTGCTCCAAAAGAGCAATGGTAAACCAGATGATGCACTAAAAACTCGTTGTAAATGTAGACATTACATAATGAGGCTGCTTGTAATCTTTTATTTTTGCTAATAAGAGCGCTTTCTATTTAGGCAGCACTGTCGCCACTTGGGGACTTTACATAATAAAGACCCCCGACAGTGACAATGCCGGTGGCAGGCAAGGGTGAGTCTACTTACCGTAATGTCCTTCGCAGGCGCCTCCATTTTCTGCGAAGGGATCCTCATTGACTCCTGGTATTCAGCGCCAGGTACTAACCTAACTGCTGTATCCTCGCACATGCACGAGAGTACAGTGTTTAGGTCCGTTGAGGATCCAACAGGGGAGGATGACAGTGCATTTCCATTTATTTTAATTGACTTTCATTCTTTGTGTTTGCAATGGCTAGGAATTAAAAAAACAAAATAAAACTGGGAAGAATGTGACCTTAACTTCATCTCTGGTCACACTTACTACTTCAAACCTACACAAATACAAATCTGGAGTTTTAATATAAAGCACTTAAGAAGCATTATTGTTTCTTTGTTTCTATAAAATGTCCTCTTTCCTAATTTCCCAACTCTTTTACTTGTCTGGGGTCTTAAATTATTTGCTGACTAGGTTTTCTTGCTCCACATTTTGCACAAATGGATTTTTTTTTAAAAAAAAAAAAACATTTTTTAAAACTATTGGCAAAGTTAGACAAGAACTTTGTTACGCACTTATTTCCAAAAAGGGAGAAAATTAAAGTAAATTTTAAATGTTTTAAGACTGCCTTTTGTTCTAAAAATGTGGTTGTGTTTTTTTTTTTTTTTTTTTTTAAAGTGTTATTCTGCTTAAGGCTAAGTTTGTAGTTTGGCATGATTTACTAGCATAAAAGTGTATTTGGTGCTTTGAATAAAACTTTAATTTAAACAGTACAGTGTTCTGAATTGTTCTTTATAACTTGTTCCTATTCACGTTGTTTTTGGGGTTTTTTTTTTGTCAAGCAGCTGATGTGCCTATGACAATACAACACTGGGTGACACAAGCTTCTGGATTGTTTGCTTTTATCATTGTTTTGATTCTTTCTACTGGAAATTAAATGCATTGTGGAATTCTTATGTTTATTTACTATATGGTGAATTGAAAACCTAATTATAAAATAGCAGAGCTGTTAAAAATCTCTAATCACACTTTGGTAAGTTTTTTTTAACTTGACATTTTACACATTTCTCCTAATAGTTTACATTTTTTTTTTTCTCCCTAAGTGTGGAACTAAACTGTACAAATCTGCATCACCTGTTGCTGCCTTCTGGCATTCTGTGGTAAACTATCATACGTGTCTATAACTTGGTCTATTTTTAAGATGTCTAAAGAAACCAGCACAAATATTGGATACATTTAAAAAAAAAAAAAAAAAAAAGTTAATTTTAAGTCTGCAAAAAGGACTATAAAAAAAAAAAAAACATGTCTGAGTTTTAAGACCACTTCTTCTAGCAAACCTGAACAGTGCTCAGATCACCTACAGCTGGAAGGAAAAGGCCTTATGCATGTCTGAGTTTTAAAAGACCACTTCTAGCAAACCTGAACGGTGCTCATCCTCAACTCCCTCGATCTCCAGCACTTCTCCACCAAACTCCAAACACTCCTCTTACCCATCTCAAATCTCAACTGCCCTAACTCTGCAACTTCACTATACAATTCCACTCACTCCTCTCAACTTGACATCATGGCACCTCCAACAGTTAAACACAGCAAGCGCCCCCAACTACAACCCTGGCACACCAAGCTGACCCGTGTGATAGAATTAATCTTGATTCCAAGGCTCAAACTTATAGGTGTCATATAATGATATCCTATATTAAAATTGGCTAACTTGGACTCAGGAAATGCTTGATGCTTAAACAACACTTAAGACCATATATGGCTAGTTCCGGGAGCAGAGAGCCCCCACCTAAGCTGTCTCTTCTCTAATCTTTTTGTTCTTACCTTGGAACTTATTTGTTATGTGTACATGACGTTCATCCTTTTATCTGTACTCCCTTCCTATTACTGTTCTAAGTGTATTTGCACGTAAGCACTTACTTTTTAATGTATAAAACCCAGCCGATGAATAAAACGTCAGCTTATTTTGAATACCAACAGGTGTCTGGTGTCTAATTCTCGCTTCTCCAAGTGCACTTGTAATAACAATTTGGACTTCCTCTGAATATAACAAAGATCATTATTTGGATCCACAACAATTTGGTGCCATGACCCCGGGATCTGACGGTCGAGAGACTCAGACACTAGTGTACAGGTGGACGTCCCTCTGACAGTGAAATCAGCTGTACAGCAAGCTAAGAAAAACTTTTTTTCTACCTTTATCAATTTTGCTCTCAGATCCACGTCTTACTAGTCTGTCTGGGTAAAGAACGACTTAAGTTCTTTAGATCAGACCTTGTTTTCTGTGGTATTATGGTTATATTCAGGTGGATTGTGTTATGTCTTATGAAAGGAATCTTGAGATAGAGGAATATAACTGTGGGTTGAAATTTATTTTTGTTTGCCTTGTCATTTATTTTATAATTTGAGTTAGAATCCTCCAAGGGCAGACTGCAATGGTCCTAAGTGTTTAAATACACTGTTTTTGTACAGTTTGTCTTGTGTAAGGAAGTAATAAACCCTTACAAGTTTTAAGATGGGTAGCTCTGAAAGTACCCAAGGGGGATTTACGGCTTTGACTATTGTCAAGCATCACAAAGGACAAGGAGCAATTAAGAATGTTAAGAAGTTACTTAAGAAAGCTGGCATGCCCTCAGAGGGCACTCTAGATCCACATTTATGGAGTGAATTTATGGCAAATTACAGAGGATGGTTAGAAGATAATGACTTAGTAGAAGTTGCACAAAAATGGCATGATACTGCTGTTGAATTAACTAAATGTGGTTAGAGAGAAACCACCAGGAAAGGTCAATGTTATCAATGTTTTGGACCTCTAGGGTACCAGAGTAGGCAAGATCCTGTGAAAAATCTTGTAAACCCACCCCTTTACCAGGATACTGCAGGGACTCCTTTGGTCCCAAAAGATCAGGCGATTTCCCTTTTACGGAGATCAAAGCTTCTCTTTCCAGTAATATTACGCAGTAGGACTTCATATGGTGTCCCAGTAAGACCTATGGGTTCATTAGAGCAGGAAGGTAGTCCAGACTTAAAGGAACCCCTAGTTGCCCCCACAGACACCCCAGTGGGGCCATTAGCTCAACAATTTTCTACTCCCATGATACCCAAAGTTGAGAGCGTATACCATGAGAACAGACAGCCGAGTGCAGGTATCCAATACTGGGAAGAATATAAGCTCTGGACACCCAGTGAACAACTGGCAATAATACAGCAGCTGGCAGATGTTGAAAAGGCCCCCTTAGCTCTAGTCCAGTCTCTATCCACAATTCAATCTACTTACCAGTGTACTTGGATGGATTTAAAACAGATTGTGGCACTAAAAGCTGGCCCCATTTGGGCTAGAATTGCTAAATATACAGATGCCCATGAAGATAACCTCAGAAAAATGCAAACAGATGAATGGTTTAGAACAAAGTCTGCATCTGGAGCAAGCTATGTCACTGCAATGAGAGAATGGGCTAAGGTAAAGACAGAAGAACTAGCCCATAAATTAGGAGATATACTACAAGGGAAAGATGAATCTGTAGAAACATTCTTCACCAGACTACAGATGGCTTGGAAGGCATTGGGTTGTAACCACATCCACCAGACTGCTTATTAACTGTTTCGTGGATGGTATCCACATACCCATAAGGACTGGTCTCCAAAATTCTAGACCTGAGTGGAGAAGTTTAACCTATGGTGATCTGGTGAAGGTGGCTAGGGGAGTGGAAGCTAATCTAAATACTAGAAAGAGGAGCACACCTCTAACGGCTGTAACTGTCCCTAGAGCTGGTGGAGACAGAAGGCAGGTAGACTGCTGGAATTGTGGCAGGAAAGGACACATTAAACGTAACTGCAAGTATCCTCCTAAAAATAGAAAACCCAAGGATTCTAATGATAACTCCCAGGACAGCCAACCAACACCTCTCCCCCCCACCCCCCTTAATAGGAAATTGGCAAACCAATGTCCCCACATATCATAAATATCCCTTACTCTGCAGGACCCTCACCCATTATCAATGTTATACTGCCGGGGGACCGAAAAGTCCCTGTTGGACACTGGCGCTGCTAAATCAATGTTACAGGAAAAATGTGTTCCCGTATGAGAAATCTAATGATGTATTATCATGTGTAGGGGTGGATGGTATCGAAAATGACATTCCTCTTACCCACAAGCTGAAATTGAAGCTACACGACTCTACTGCCCTTGTAACAAGGCTACTTGTCAGCCCACATGCCCCCTGCTAATCTACTAGGCAGTGATATACGGTCTGCTTTTAGTGAAATATCCAGTATAGCCCCACTGAAAAAGTAACATTGTCTGTGCCTTTAGAGGACAAACAAATGATATCTCTTTCAAATGTTCTGGCAACTCTCACTATGCCCAGCCATGTGCCAGAACCTACCATTGACTTGTCCTCAGTCCCTGATTCCTTATGGGCTACAGGGAAGACAGATACAGGCAGACTCTCTGTGCCCCCAGTCAAAGTGAATCTTCTGCCTGGAGCCAAACCTCCCTATCAAAAACAATACCCCCTTAGCCCAGCACAGGAAGATGCTATTTCGCAATCTGTACAAGAGTTTCTGCAGGCAGGGGTAGTTGTCCAGACCACCTCCCCTTGTAACACACCATTGTACCCAATTAAGAAAAAGCAAGAAAAAGGGAAACCTGTGGTCTACCGTATGGTACATGATTTGAGGGCAATTAATGCTGTAACTGAACTAATGTTCACAACCCACACACCTTGTTGGCACAAACGCCACCTTCCTCTAAGGTATTTACTGTTATTGACTTGGCAAATGCATTTTTCAGTCTCCCCCTGAATCCCAACAGTCAGTTTTTATTTGCATTTACACATAAACACAAGCAGTACACTTGGACAGTATTGCCACAGGGCGCACAAAACTCACCCACTATGTACAGCATGGCTATGGCCCAGATTCTTGAAGAGTGGCAAAGGCCAAATAACGTAATTTTATTGCAGTATATCAATGACCTACTCCTATGTTGCGATATGGAATCTTTTATTGTAAACACTCTTTCCTTGCTGAAATTCCTGGCAAAAGCAGGCTGTAAAGCGACAAAAACGAAACTGCAACATGTGTAGGGAAAGTTATTTTCCTAGGACATTGCATTTCCCAGGGCATAAAACATCTCACGGAAAGTAGAAAGACTGCAGTTCAACATATTAAACCCCCCCGCAGCCTAGCCCAGCTTCGTACATTTCTCGGTTTGATATCTTACTGCCGTCCTTGGCTGCGTTCAGTAGCTATCTACATGCAACCACTGTATGATTGTCTTGCCAACGAAAACAAAACATTTAAATTAACCCATGAGGCAGAAAATGCCCTCTATACCCTAAAGATACTGCTAACGTCAGCTCCAGCACTGGGTCTCCCAGATTACAGAAAGAATTTTAACCTGTTCTCTACTGAACAATCAGATTATGCTACATCTGTCCTTACACAGGACCATGGTGGTAAACAAAGACCAATAGCATACTACTCCTCCAGATTGGACCCTGTTGCCAGGGGTGCCCCCTCATGTGTTAGGGCAGTGGCGGCTGTTACTGCCCTCCTGGACAAAGCCACTGATATTGTTTTAGATAATCTGGTGACCATATACACACCGCATGATATCAACAGCATACTGTCACAAGTTCAACCAAAACACATACATACTGCAAGGCATCTCAGAATGCAATGTGCCTTGCTTATGCCACCTAATGTTACTCTTAAAAGGTGTATGGTGTTAAATCCATCTA